GAATATATTGAACAATACTGGCCCCAATACTAGTGGCCTCTAACCAGACTCTGCCCCATTGACCACGACTCTCTGGCTTCTTTCCTTCAGCCAGTTCGCAGTCCACCTCACTACCCGTTCGTCAGTCCACACTTCCTCAGTTTAGCTGTGAGGATGCCGTGGGAGACTGTGTCAAAGGCTTTACTGAAGTCAAGGTAGACCACATCCACCGCTCTGCCATCATCCATCCACCTCGTTATATCCTCATAAAAGGCTATGAGGCTGGTCAAGCACGACTTCCCCTTGGTGAAGCCATGTTGACTGCCCCTAATGACCCTCTTATCCTTGATATGCCTTGAGATGGCAACCCTTTCAGTAAAGAAATTTTTTCCTAATATCCAATCTAAACCTCCCTTGGCACAACTTGAGGCCATTTCCTCTTGTCCTATCACTTGTTACTTGGGAGAAGAGACCAATTCCCAACTCACTGCAACCTCCTTTCAGGTAGTTGTAGAGGGCGATAAAGTTTCCCCTCAGCCTCCTCCAAACAAAACAACCCCAGCTCCCTCAGCTGCTCCTCAGAAGACTTGTGCTCCAGACCCTTCACCAGGGAAGCAGAGGCTGTCCCTGGAAACATAATTAATGGTTGTAATTTCCTTTAAACGCCCCCAGCAGTAGCTGCAATGTTCACCAGCCTCCTCGTAGCCTATGCAGGGATGATCATTCCCCAACATTTGTCCTTGCCCCAGGGCTGCCTTGCAAACCGGACCAGTGCTGGGTTATCCTGCCTCCTCTGGGGAAGGCTCCAGAAACAAGGGTCAAACCCTGGCACTCTGCTTTTAGCTCTTAATTAGCTCTTAATTACCCACTGGCTTTATAAGGCAGATGCTGATCCTGCCTGCAGGAGAAGGGCCACATCCCAGGCTGGGTTTCCCCAGTGGTGCTGACAGGGCAGGAACCATCCATCCCTAAGATGCCTGGTATGTCTTATGTGCTGTGCCAGCAGCCTGTGTTAGCTCCACTCCAGCGCTCCAAGGCCAAGAGGCTCCATCACGACACCAACAGCTGCCTCCTAATCCCATCTCCAAGCTCCAGCTCCTTTCAGCTGCCACCATCCACTCCACAAAGGCACATAACCCAGTTCATGCTCAGCCATTCCTAAATCCACCTGGGCACCCCAGTTTTTGAGGACCTCCACTGTTTGCTCCCCAAACCTCTTCCCTCACCCAGCTTGGTGAACAGCAGGTGGAGGTGAAGCTGTGGGTCCAACAAGGATGACTGCACCACACACAAAAGAAGGGACACGGCTGTGCTGGGCCCCCAGCCAAGCCCCCTCAGGCTGAGCCAACACTGCCCAGATCCATTGGGAGAGCTGGGGTTTTCCAGCAAAATGAATGCCTTGGGCTTGCGGAGTTGGACAACAACCAGAGCCAAACCCATCCTTTTGCTCTACGTGCGACGCTTTTCCGTGGCTTCAACGGGAGCCCAAACTAGGTCCTG